CATTAAAGATCATTTAGATTTATTATTATATTCAGTCAACCATGAAGTCTGTTCCTGATAGGAAACAGAATATGCTCAATAAATGATAAAACAATATGAAACCAATAGTTTAAAGTAAAATAAGTAATTATTTTAACTTGATGTTGTAAGTAAAAGTAATAGAGAAATGTGGGCTCTTTAACTAGGGGAGGGCAGTTTTTTTAATGAAATAAATTTAATCGCAGCATTAAGTTAAAACTCACATTTCAAGATTAATGGACTTAAAAAAACAATGTTTATACAGCTTGTCTCTTGTTGTTAAATTCATGAATTTTAATTTCTGAATTACCAATAAATTTTTTTTCTTGACTTAAATTACATTTTCAAGGCAGCAGGTCGACTTTTATTTTCAAGTTAAACCACCTTCAAAAGTTTTACAGTGAAGAAACATGTTGACAAAATTTTGCTTTACTGAATACAGAATTTCTTTTGCTGACTTTTGAAAATGAGTGATTTTTAAAATAACATATATTGATGAACTGAAATGAAGTAGAGTGTAGCAGCATTAATATCTCAATGACTTTCAATGACATTTTAACATCTTAAACCACCTAACAGAGTTGATGGGCCAACCTTTGTGAAGACACAACTTGACCTAAAATCAAGTTATAAAGTCTTATCAGAAGTGAGGCTGAACACTGGAAAAGGACATTATTATGTATTTTCCAGGAATAGGGTGGCCTTTTGTAGCACAATCAATTAACTACGTTACCTTCAGTTGCTATATATCAAATATGACTTAGAAGAAATTTGATGGCTTAAAACTGGGTCTCTGTTCTTTAGAGACTCATCACTTTCTGAAACGCCACCATCAGGAAGTCACATCACAATAAACCCTCCTCTATTAACCCTTTAACAATGTTTTATTGGTGTTGCACTGAGAAGTCCTATAATGAGCTCAGCAGAAGCTCAGTTCCTCCTGGTGTTCGCTAATTGCTGCTGGCTGGTCTTGAGGAGGTGAGCGGAGGAGTCGCTGAGGAGCGCTGCTCTGTGAGGCCGAAGCCTGGAAGCCTGGAAGCCTGGAAGCCTGGAAGCCTGGAAGCCTGGAAGCCTGGAAGCTGCAGCTCAGATGAGGACCCACCCCTCTAAGGCTAGGTCCACCCAGATGTTTTGCACAGCTGGATGGTTGCCATGTGAGATTATAAGGATTTCTCAAACATGCATGAAAGAATCAAAGCGACACTCAATTTAGTTTTTGATGAGGGAATAACAGTATGGCGAGATGTAAAGCTCAGAAAAGTAGATTTTGTGTAATACTGTCTCTGTTGCACAGCAGAAAATGATGTGCCGGCAGAACACCTGTTCACTTCTGGTGTAGTATATTTCGTATCAACTGTGAACAGAAACTGCTCCTAATATCCGCCATTGTTTTCTCAGCAATGGCGGACTTGCTGAGCGCCATCTGATGGCAAAATCTATACATTGTTAGATATAATAGATTCTAACACTAGTTTCTAAGTAAGTAATCTTTAGCATAGAAAATTACATGGGGGGGCTCAATTGGCATGCCTTGTTCTGTTCCATAGTGCCACATTTCTTCAAAGTAAGCTCCAGCTTTAACATAAGCTTATAAATAGGCCTTACCAAAATGTCAAAGTTCAACAGGAAGGGTCAGTAATGTATTATTTCAGAACAAACCACGAGTGACTGCCTGCTTTATGCAACACAACCTCCTGTCCTCTCTCTGTGACAGCTGACGAATGAGAGCTGAGCTTTTATTATCGCCTTCGAGAACCCAGAGACATGAGACAATGAAAAAAAAAGAGCAGCGTTGAGGTGGTTCAGCCGGACTGCATCATGGGATCTATTAATACTGATGAGTGTCATTAAGAGCTGGAGCGGGGTGAGCCGTGGGGGGTTGTTTAGCTCCCCTGCGTGCGTGGGATGGAAGGGGAGGCTGAGGAGTGTTTAGACAGCGCTCAGATGGTTTACAAACAGTACGAAGCACAGCCTCTGTCACACCGAGCAAGCAAGGACCCCCCGCACCTCCTCCTCGCCCCCAACCCGCCGCCAGCATCGTCTGATGAAGACAGGAAACATCTGGACGCAAAGGGAAGGAGAGGATAATAATGACAGAGCATAACGAGGGTGAAGGAGGGCTGATCTGGCCGGTCTCTTAAATCTGAGACACAGCAGACATTTGCAAAGATGGGTATTTGAAGCATTAACATTTCAATATGTCAAATAAATCAGTATTAACGGCTCATAGACGTTAACACTGTCTATGATTTGGCTGCATTTATACACACCCCTGGTAAAGATGCCTAAAGAAAGTCTTTTATTGAAGCAGCATCATCTCTAAATGAACCGTTTAGAAAACTCCAGCTGTTGATCTCAGTGCTTTTAATTAGGAAGGAAGAAAGTCTCTGTTTCACACTAAACTGGTGTGTTTGTTGTCAAAAGCTCAATCGCATCTGATCAAATCAAACAATTCAGAGCCTTTAAGTATGAAGCGTAAAAGGGTTGTTGTTTTTTACTCCTCCTTTTTTTCCCATCTACGATGGTCCTAACACGCTGTCGTATGGAATAGTTTAATATTCAACATGTTTCAGTTTTTAATGGTAGGATAATAAATACTTGCCCTGGCATTCCTTTTAAACTAAGCTAAGCTAAGCTAATTGTTCAGTCAAATTAACCCCATCGTCACAACAAAGCACAACACAGAAGGTCCAACACATCAACAGAGATTTCAAGATTAATTTGGGAGCAAATTATTCTAACTAACTAACTAACTTGAAAGCTAAAGAAAACTTAAACATTTATGTAACTAAAGCTGGCATCTTGGAAGGGTCTATAAATAAATTACTGCTTCAGCTGTATTTTTGTTTTTAAGATGGTCACACATTTTCCTCAAACACCCTCTGATATGGTGGAATGATGAGAATGATGCCAAAACATGACTTAGCTGGTCTGCTGTTCCTGTTGCTGAAAAGCTAAACCATAGTTAGCTTAGCCTTTAAAGGCAAACTTAGTAAAACAATTTAGTTTTACACTAATCTGTCCTAAAACGTTATTCAGAAAGTAACTGTGTTCTTTGTGGGCCTTTCTGCTTGCGTAGACTTCTTTTACAATCTTGTAAAGAAGTCTACACAAGACTTCTTTCAGTAAATATTTAATGTTCATATTAGAAAAGCAACCAGGCTATCACAGGCTGTCCTACTTGTTACACCTGACACATTTCTGCACATTCTGGCAGCTTAAATAGCCTCCGATCGTCTCATGGATCCTGTCGCTTGTTTACGTCTGTGTCTCCATCATCAGCAGAGCCTCCTGACAGTGAGGCCGCTGGGTGGGCTCTCTGTTTAATCAGCGTGTAACGACTAACTGCTCCCACAGCGACCTCATTTGTCCAGATGTACTTTCATGCGCTGCCAGTGGCCCCACATGTTCTCTCATCAGAGAACATCTCGAAGCCCCTGAACAATCCTACATTGGCACGCAGAGATCTCAGCTGCATCCTGTTTAGGCAGTCTGAACGAGTTCACGAGGTCTCACTCTGGGCTTTTTATTGAGTCCCACTAGAGCGATCAATACGGTGAAGTCACTCGGGGTCGCGTAGAGCCGCAGCGCTATGACGTTCTTGGCTTTCGACCCGTGTCATCTTGAAACGTTCAGTCCGATTTCGGTCATGCTTGTGGCATCTGGTTCACTCGATTGTTATGCTGTTCACCCCTCTGGAGAGTTTAGATGATGTCACTGTAGGACACAGGAAGCATGAAGACAGAATTATCTGAAATCAACGCTATTCTGTTATAACGGTATTACCTCATCGAAAACACTCCTGGAGTGTTGTTTTGATTCTTTCACGCATGTTTGAGAAATCCTTTAATCTCCACGGCAACCATTCAGCTGTGAGAAGCGGCTGGGTGGACCAAGCCCCGCCTTAGAGGATGAAGCTCCTCCTCTGAGCTTCCACCTCAAAGAGCAGCCTCTCCCACGACTCCCCCATTCAGCTCCTCCAGACTAGCCAGCAGAAATTAGCAGACACCGAGAGTGGATCTGCACATCAACTGATCTAATTATACCAGATACTTCTCAGTGCAGCGCTGGTAAAAACTTTGCTAAAGGGTTAATAGAAGAGCCATGTTGTGATGACTTCCTGAAGGTGGAGTTTCAGAAAGAGTAGGAGGTTGTTTTTTTTTTAAAAGAGACAGAAGCCAAATTTTAAGGTGTTCTATTACAAAGTCAAATTTCTTTTAAGTCATATTTGATGTAAGCAGCATTTTTATGACACAGTTACTTGACTGTGCTATAAAAACGACAGTATGTGCCTAGAAAACACATAACACTGCCCCTTTAATCTCATTTTCCAACATCAAGTTAATGACACATTTAAGCCTATTTCTGCATGTATTCAATGTGTTCATTTCTAATCCCATATTAATGCATACATAGTTTGATTAACAAATCATTTCTAAGCAAAAACACCAATGCCATTTTTTTTCTTCTTTTGTGTTTTTAGTTGTAATTGTTATGTTTTTTCTGTTTTGTATATTTTTGATGTTGTGTTTTCTTCACTGCCGTGTAGTAATTATTTTTTTACATGTGATTTTGTCAAATATTTAATTTATGTAGTTATTTACTTGTTCTTACTAATAGCTCCTGTAGCCGGACTCTGACATGTTAAACACATTTTTTGGGATCCAACACCTTGATAACTGGTTACACTCTTATTGTGATTAAATATCTTGCTTTTCTTTATGAACTGTGATGTGAGAGAGCATCAGAGCGTCTTTATGTTTTAATCAAACCTGTGGTTTTTAAAAAATTATTATTATCATTTTCTCTATTGAGTAAATTGAAATTCTTGTCTCCAGAATTTCCTAACCATCCTCTCTCCCTCCAGACATCCTGGCCGACTCTGTGGGCTGTCCTTTGCAGGACCCGGACCTCCAGCTGCTCCCTTATAGCCAACAGCAGTATTTCCCTGCCAACCTGCCTTTCCCTTTCTACAGCTCCCCTCCTTCTTCCACCTTCTCGCCTTCATCTCTGGCTTCATCCTCTCAGCTCTGCCATCCTCCGTACCAGTACAGCTCTCACAGCCTGGAGGGCCCCTGCGATCAGGGCCCGGAGCCCCTGTCTTCGGGGCTGAATCAGGGGCTGGCACCAACAGGGCTGCCTCTCGTGCGCAGGTCTCGGATGGGGTCGGGAGGAAAGGGCAAAGGTCAGGATGAGTTGTGCATGGTGTGTGGGGATAAAGCGTCGGGATACCACTACAACGCTCTCACCTGCGAAGGGTGCAAAGGTACTCACTCTGAGTGCTGGCTTTAAATCTGTCCGTGCTTTCAAAGCTAAAGCTGGTCTGGGTTTTTACTTTATCTGCAGGTTTCTTCAGGCGCAGTGTGACCAAAAAGGCCGTGTATCACTGTAAGAGTGGCGGCGGCTGCGAGATGGACATGTACATGAGGAGGAAGTGCCAAGACTGCCGGCTGAGGAAGTGCCGCGCTGTGGGAATGCTGGCGGAGTGTAAGGAAACTAATTCAACAGCTCAACATGATGGGACGACATAAACCACTGATACTGATCCTGTAGTCAAGTTTAATTGTAAATCACATTCCAGCAACGCGACAGTTCAAAGGGAAAGACAATTTTTAGCCTTGATTTAAAGGCACTCAGTGTTTCAGCTGTTTTACAGTTTTCTGGAAGTTTGTTCCAGATTTGTGGTGCATAGAAGCTGAATGCTGCTTCTCCATGTTTGGTTCTGGTTCTGAGGATACAGAGCAGAACCAGAACCAGAAGATCTGAGAGGTCTGGAAGGTTGGTACAACAGCAGCAGATCTTTATTTTGGTGCTAACCATTCAGTAATTGAAAAACCAGTAATAGCATTTTAAGGTCTATTCTCTGAGCTGCAGGAAGCCAGTGGAAGGACTTCCTATCTTTCTGGTTTTAGTCAGAACAGGAGGAGCAGCGTTCTGGACCACCCTGAAGCATTCTGATTAATTTTTTAGGCAAGACTCTGTTACAGTAATCAATGAAACTATAGATAAACACATGTATGAGTTTCTCTGTATCTTGCTTTGACATTAATCCTTTAAACCTGGAAATGTTCTTCAGGTGATTAAAGGCCGACTTTGTAACCGTCTTTATGTGGCTCTGAAGGTTCAGTGCATTGATAGCTTTCTTGACAGCTACAGCGCACAATAACATGATCTAAACATTTCCGTGTTTGGACTACGTGTTTACATTGTTGTCGTTTATCCTCCAAGGCCTTCTGACAGAAGTTCAGTGCCAATCCAAGCGACTGAGGAAAGGAGGTAGAAACAGGGGTCAAGAGGAGGAGGACAGCGCAGACGGTCGGAGAGTCAGCTCCACCTGCCGGCTACCTGCGCAGGTACCACGGCTATATCCTGAGGCCTGTCCCCAGGCTCTGTGCCGCCGGGGACAGGCCCGGGTTTCTAAACCCTGTCATTTGTGTCCTCCCCATGCAGACTCAGCCGGCCACGTTGACCCGGGAACAGAAGCACATTGTGGACAGGATGGTGGAGGCCCATCAACAGTTCAGAGATCAGGACAGCAGCAGTTACATGGTGGGGACATGTGCAGACGTCACGTCTGCCCGGCCAGGCGGCATGATCATGCCGTTGTCATGTCAGCAGGTGTTTGAGTGGCAGTGCGCTCTGGAAGGAGACGGCCTGCTGGATGTTCCCACCCCACAGCTGCAAAGACTGTTGCAGTTTGCCAGAACGGTGCCGGGTGAGTCGGACACTCAGGCTTTTTACTCGTTTAGAGGCGCAAATTTATGAATCTGCAGTGTTCAAATAAAAAGGAGGGAAGGAAAAAAAGATAAGATTTGAAGTTTGACAGAGACATCGTATAGGATAAATCAACGTATCTACTTATTTTAGCTCATTTTGAATTTGAAACTATTTAAGTAAATGTCGTAAAACACGGCAAAAACACAAAATCTTGCAAGTATTTTTGGTCTAATGTCCAGTGTAAATATTTTAGTTTGCTTGAAACAAGACAAAAATAACTTGTCAGAAAGATATTGGTGCTTGTGTTAAGTCAGTAATTCATTAATAATGTGAAACAGTGGATCTAGCACTTGTTCCATCAATACTAAGCAATTACTGACTTAAAACAAGCTCCTGTATCTTTCTGAAAAGTTACCACTAAGTGAGTTTTGTCTTGTTAAAAGCGAATTAAAATATTTGAATTAGAAACGACAAGACCAAAAATCCTTGGTAAGATTTTGTGTTTTTGCCGTGAACAAAACTTCTTCTTCTTCTTCCGTTTGTTTTTTACAGCACTCTGAAAACATTAAAATAAAACCAACTAATACACATACATTGAACAGGCACAGAATATATGAGGAGTATAATGGGGAAGGATGTTAAAAGGATAAGACAAAAAAATGAATGTAAGGTCAAAATCACAGGAAAGGCAAGAGAAAAAAAAGTTTTCTTAATTCACTTTGGTCCCTCCCTTTGATTATACACTTAGTTTACAACAAATACTGAATTTCTTCCAATTCTTAATAAATTATGTCATGCATAAATTATTTGAAGAGATCATCCTCTCCATGTTGAAATGCTATTTATTTACTTTCATTGGAGCCCTGGTCAAGAACTTCACAGGGCTTTCAAATAAATTTATGTTTTATTGTCGTAACATAATCAGAGACGAAAACCTTGCAACAGCGGCGTCCAAAGTGCGGCCATTTGTGGGCCTTGAAACTGTGAGCTTGCTGGTAAAATAAACCCAGTTCTGACCTCCGACCCAGGATTTGACCTCCTGGATTTCTCAGACCAGATGAGCCTCCTGTCTGTGTCTTCGCTGGAGGTCATGTTCCTGCTCTCTGCCCAGCAGTTCTCCAACAACCCAGCGAGCCCCACTCCAGGTAAGGAGAAAAAACACACACACGCACACACACGCACACACCCACACACGCACGCACGCACGCAC